ATTTCTTTCAGTATGTTTTCGATATCTTGCTCTCTCTCATCTTCTGGGACCCCCATAATTCTGATGTTGGTTCGCTTGAAGTTGTCCCAGAGGTTTCTTACATTATCTTCCATTAATTTTCTGGATTCTCTTGCCTTCTAGCTTCTGTGGAGGAATGTCTTCTGGCTCTTTATGTTCCAAATCTTTGACTTGATTCTTGCGATCTTCCATTCTGTTTTTAGGACTCTGGATAATATTTTTTATTTCAGACAATGTCTTCTTTATTTCTTGTTGATCCCTTATCATTTCTTGATGATTCCTTATTAATTCTAGTTGATCCCTTTTCATATCCTCATAGGTCTTATCGATCTTTTCTAGGAAATTCTTGAAAAACCTTATAAGCGTAGATTTGAACTCTATATCCAGTCGCTTTTTGTCCTCCATTTCTTTCCTTTGTGATCTATTTCGTTGTCACATTTCGCAGCTACAGCTGGGGCAGGTTTCAGGGTGGAGCCTACAGCCTTGGCTTCCCTCAGCCCTGTCCTACGTGGCTCCTGGGTCTCAGGGTCCTTCAGTACTTGCTGCAAGCGCCTCGGAGTGAAAGGTGCCCTCGATTTTCACCTGCTACCAGTCTAGGCTTTCCCCAATGAGCCCGGTATTGGGGTTCAGTTCAGTTGGAAGTGGAGTTGGAGGTGGCGTTCAGAGCAGTCTGGAGCCCCAGTCTCCTTCCCACCAGGGCAATTTCGTGGCACAGCCAACCATCCCTTCTAGGTGTTTACCTCGGTAGCCATCTTGGATTCCGACCTTTGTATTTGTTGAAAGAGTGAAATATATTTTCACATTTTAGTTTGCAGCATAACATATAATCAGTTCAGCAAACTATAATGAGGTATCACCTCACCCCTGCCAGAATGACTACAATCAATAAATCAGCAAATAACAAGTGCTGGTCAGGGTGTAGAGAAAAGGGAACCCTAGTGCACTGTTGGTGGGAATGCAGACTGATGCAGTCACTGTAGAAAAATAGCATGGAGTTTTTTCAAAAAAATTAAAAATGGAACTGCCATTAAGAATACCAAAACAGCCGAAACCGGTTTGGCTCAGTGGATAGAGCGTCGGCCTGCGGACTGAAGGGTCCCGGGTTCGATTCCGGTCAAGGACATGTACCTTGGTTGCGGGCACATCGGCGGGTGTGTGTGTGTGTGCAAGAGGCGGGGGGGGTGGGTGCAAGAGGCAGCTGGTCGATGTATATCTCTCATCGACGTTTATAACTCTCTATCCCTCTCAATTCCTCTCTGTGTAAAAATCAATAAAATATATATTTTTTTAAAAATACCAAAACACCAAAAAAGATATATGTACCCCTATGTTCATAGCCACATTATTTATAAAAGCTAAGGTCTAGAAACAGCCCATGTGCCCATCAGTAGGTGAGTAGATAAAAAAGCTGTGGTACATTTAGCAATGGAATACTATGGAACTGTAAATAAGAAGGATGTACTACCCTTTGAGATAGCATGGAAGGTCCTGGAGGGGATTATCCTAAGTATATTAAGCCATGGAACAGACTGATAGTTCTCAGATGGAAGGGAGGTGGAAGGAAAGGAAGGGATTAACCATAGAATTTATACGCATATATGTGTAGCCCATTGACACAGGCAGTAGTGAGGTGAAGGCCTAGGGTGGACAGGAGCCAGGTGGTTGGAGGCAAAGTGGGGAAAATGGGGGACATCTGTCATACTCCCAACAATTAAAATAAATTTTAAAAAACTAAAAATTAAAACAATTTACAAAAAAAAGGCATTTAAAAATAGGCTAAAAAATATTTAAAGTTGAACTGCTTTATGATCCAAAGATTCCTCTTCTGGGAATATATCTGAAGAAACCCAAAACACTAATTCCAGAGAATATATGCACTTCTCTGTTCATTGCAGCATTACTTACGAGACCTGATATATAAAAACAACTCAAGTGCCCATTAATAAATGGACAAAAAACAGTGGTACATATTTACACAATGAAATACTACTTAGCCATACAAAAGAATAAAATCTCTCTCTCTCTCTCTCTCTTTTTTTTTTTTTTTTTTTTTGTGACAGCATGGATGGACCTGGAAAGCATTATGCTAAGCAAAATAAGCCAGTCAGACAAAGACAAGTACCATAAGATTTCACTTACATGTGGAATCCAATGAACAAAAAAAACCCAAAACCAGAGAACAGACTGACAGCTATCAGAGGGGAGGGATTTTGAGGTTCTGGGTTAAACAAAGGTGACAGAGTTAAGAAAAACACACACTCACAGACACGGACAACAACTGCATGGTGATTACAGAGGGAAAGGAGAGGAAGGCACACAGAAGAAGGTAAGAGGGATAAATGGTGGGCATGGGGAGACTGGACTTGGCAGCACGCGGATGATGTGTTGTAGTTTTGCACCTGAAAGCTCTGTGATTTTATTGGCCAGTGTCACTCCAATAAATTCAATAAAAATTTTTAAAAATTCCCAGGTGTTCTAGAAGCAGAAGATTGCTGACATCCTCCACTGTGCTAGGTGTCCAGAGAAGCTTAGCTAGCCAGGCCTCCCCTCTGAACACCTGCACAAAGAGGAGGTCAGAATTCAAAAGGAACCGGGATTCCTCCCTGCTGGTCAAATCTTGTATACGTAAACCACTCATTCATCCGTGCAATCACCCAGCCACACACTAATGCAGGACCTGAATGTGCAGACACTGGGCCAGTCAACCATGACTTTGACCACAAAGAGCATGGATAAGGCTCCATCTCTCAAGGAGCAGACATTCTGGTGGAGAGAAGAATATGACAAGCACAAATGAATGATATCAACTCCATTCACGGAAGAGCGTTAGGAGTTGCAGAACACCTTAGATTACAGTGTTTCCCAAACTTTTGACATATGTGTACCCCTTCTATAATTTTCGTAACGCTGAGTATCCCTCGTCAAAAAAAATATATATATATGTATTAGGTGCAGCTAAGCACAGTGCATATCCCCACCAAACTTCGGTGCAATGCATACCCCCACCAAACTCTTCCCGTACTCCTGTGGGTACGTGTACCACACTTTGGGAAACACTGCCTTAGAAGATTAAAAATACCAGACTCCGTTGCAAACGTCAGAAATTTTCCTGTGGGTTTGGTATATAAATAGAGTGTTTAAAGCACTCCACATCCCTTTGCCCTTGACTTTCCTGGCCCTGTAACTTCTAGTGGTGTCATCCTGCTTTAAAAGCAAATATCAGTGGTAGAACTTTCAGGTTTCCCCCATCCTAGGTGGGGTAGCATCTGGCCCTGCTCAGGCTCCAGTGTGGCCTCAGTTGGCAGCACAGAGGCTCTGCACCTCAGTCTCCAGCCCTAACTTATCCTAATGCCGTTAGGCTGGGAGCCCAGGGCCCTCTTCTTGAGTTTGGCATTTTTGGCTGACACTGGCCATGACCATGGGAGATAGCCAGAAGGACCCCGTCTGCTCAGCAGGCCCCCATTCTGGGTTCCACTCCTGGGCCTCTCTGGCAAGAGCTCTGTTTATAGAAACTAAATCACCTGCTTAATAAACTCAGTTTATTAAAACTAAATCACCCTCCTGAATAGAATTCTTGACCTGCCCATGGTTGCTGCCCAAACCACATCTCTGAGGCAAATAGGACAAGGTTTATTGCTCCCATTTTCCAGATAAGGAAAACTGAGATCTAAGGGAACAACCAGCAGAGCCACTCATTCCCAGGGTCTCCTCCTCCTAGAAGCCCTCCCCACCACCTGGATCCAGAAATAAGGTCTCCTTGGTCCTCCCCCAGACCCTGCACTGAGGCTCATTGGGCACTGGTGGTACAGTGGGATGCACTATGGGACTCCTTCTGCACACTCAAGGTGACCTAGGCTTCTGTGCCCAAGGCTCTAGGACCCCAGGCGCCCCCTGCCTCTGGAGATAGGCCCTCCAGGGCTGCATGCAGGGGATAAGCCAGGCTATTTTTATCACTTCCTTCCTCCCTCTCAAGCAGTGGCCACCATCCGTTGATTTACACAGAACTGCCACCTCAGCCTCAACCAGCACAGTTCAGGTCACAGAAAGGGGAACTGGACTGCAGGCCTGAAAGGTAAGAAGCCCTCCTTATTACCCAGCACTGCCTCCTACACCAGCGGCTCCTCCAGGTGGTGAGGAGGCAGGCTGTCAAGTCTTACTTCTATGCCCACTTCTGCGCTCCCTTCTAGAAGATGTAGTTGGGTGGGGGCCTTCATTCTGAGACACCTGTTCCTTGGCTAAGATTCACTGGTTTATTCAATGAATAGTCATTGAAAGTCTGCCATGTGCCAGGCCCTGGGGGTTGAAAAGAGCTTGCCTTAGAAAGGGGGTAACAGTTTTGGAGGCAAGGCAGAGAATCAGGCGGAAAACCTGGGCTCATGAGACCTGAGTTTGAGTCTGGTTTCTGGCCCAGGCTACTGTGTGACCCTGCACAAATCCCTCTGTCTCTGGGCCTCAGTTTCCCCAAGCCTGGATGAGGGGCTTTTAGAGGGAGCTCCTTTTGGGTCCCCTTCCTGCCCTCACCTCAGTAACCTTGTGCTGGTTTCTACATTGAGTACCACAAAAGAGTTCACTTCATCATGGCAAGCAGTTCGGAATTGGTGAGATGAGGTGTGGTCTGTGAAGGCCACACCTTTGGCCTAACCCCGGGCTTAAGCAGGGAGGCTGGGAGCAGCCTTTCCCCAGCCCTGCGGGTCGACCAGGACTGTAAACCATGGAACAGAGACTGCTCTCCCCATCTCCTGAAGTCCTGTCCTCTTCCAAAGTTACTCCTGCTCCCTCCCCTACTGTCTCTTGCCTCTGAGTGTTCAGTGAGGGTCAGCCAGGCCTAAGCTGGGCACAGTTCACCTCCTTCCACCGTCACAGCGGCAGTTTCACGGGTCAGATACCACTGTTCCTACGGTACCCGCTGGTTCTTGGGATGGGGTGCAGGCTACCAGTCCCTCCCTCACCTCACAGCCATCTCCCCGCAGCCAGCCTGCACCATGCCTGCCTGGGGGGCCCTGTTCCTGCTCTGGGCCGCCGCAGAAGCCACAAAGGACTGCCCTGCACCATGCACCTGCCAGGCCCTGGAAACCATGGGGCTGTGGGTGGACTGCAGGGGCCGAGGGCTCACATCCTTGCCTGCCCTCCCACCCCACACCCGCCACCTCCTGCTGGCCAATAATAGCCTTCGTTCTGTGCCTCCTGGCGCCTTCGACCACCTGGTCCAGCTGCAGACACTCGACGTGACACAGAACCCCTGGCACTGTGACTGCAGCCTCACCTACCTGCACCTCTGGCTGGAGGACCACACACCAGAAGCCCTGCTGGATGTCCGCTGTGCCAGCCCCAGCTTCGCCACCCTCCACCCACTGGGCCATCTCACGGGCTATGAGCTGGGCAACTGCGGCTGGCAGCTACAGACACCGTGGGCTTATCCATGGGTCTGGTGGGATGTGGCACTGGTGGTTGTGATCGTAATCGGCCTGGCTCTCTTGGCAGGTATACTGTGCACCGCCAGAGAGCCCCTGCTCCTAGGGTCGTTCTGCAGGCCAAATGGCCAGGCCTGAGCCCCTGTCCAGACTCCACCAGCTCTGATCAGCCACCAGTAACTTGAAATAAACTGGCTGCTCAGCCAGCCATTTTATCCAAGCTCAGATATTTTATTTTTCCCTTTCAGTACCTTCTGGAAACCTGGGTTCATTTTTTTTTTTTTTATTAGCAGATATCAACAGGTGCTTTTCTGACCCCCCAAGTTCCTAGTAAAATGGGCTGTCCCGCTTCCTTCCAACTAGCCACCTCCAATTCCACAATTAGAATATCCAGAGCCTTTCCCCAGTGCCTGCAGGTCCTGGGGCACCAGTTCTCACACCCTCCCTTCTCTAGTAGTACCAGCTTCCCACATGGACCATCCTAGGCAGCCCAGCACATCAAATTCCAAAAATAAACCCCAAACCAAAAACAACTTTATCTCACAACACAGCAATGAACAGACAGGAAGTACTGAAAGGGCATGGTCATCTCTGCAACAGACATACACCAAAAGGCGCTTCACCATTCCCCAACGGCCTTGGCATCTGGCCCTGAGGCCATGTGGGCTCCATCTCCTGCACTAGTTTCTCTCTCCTTTATTTCCCCTCTACCCTCTTCTTCGGAAACAAAACATCAGATCACCCCATTTCTCACGTAAAAAAACTCCCCGCCAAGTGCTGACATCAGACACCTGCAAACTCTGGGGTCCCACTTCTACCCCATCAAACAGATTCTTCAAACAAGACGCTTCTCTCCTTCAGAGGAATTCTGGTGCCGAGCAATTAAACTTTTCTCCACTGTACAAGCTAGCATTTAGGTCTGTGACTGGCCAACCCAAATCAAATTATAATTACACCAAGGTCTCTCCCTCAAGGAGTTCCATGTGGTGGTCCCATGGCTCAGAAGGTGCCACTCCACACTCGCCCGGTATCCGGACCCCCTCAAAACTCCCCACTGAAAAAGTCCACCTACGGTCCTTTAAAATCTCTGACTTCCAGTCCCTGGGTGCTGGTGCCATTTTGGGGCTCAGCCCATCTGGAATTCAGATGACCTAATAAATGTATAATCCCTTAGCACTTCTGGCTTTGGGCATTCCCCCTTGGGGACCCTAACAGCACCCACCAATGTAAAAGTAGTATGTGTCTCTTCAGGTTTTTTTTTTAATCCAATCCCAGAGATTTTCCCGCTTTGCCTTCTCCTACCCCCTTGCTCTACCACCAATGGATTTCATGTAAGCATCCTTACTCCTCCCCCTTTTATTCTAATGTATAAAGTAAACTGTTCAACTGCCATTCTCCAGAGCATTTTCTTAATCCATGCAGATTTTGCTTCCCCACAATGATCAATTTGGCTCAGATAAACTCATATAAGTTCTCTACAGGTTCGGACATTTTTTTATTTTATTTTTTAAAATATATTTTATTGATTTTACACAGAGAGGGATTGAGAGGGATAGAGAGCTAGAAACGTCGATGAGAGAGAAACATCGACCAGCTGCCTCTTGGACACCTCCACTGGGGATGTGCCCGCAACTAAGGTACGTGTTCTTGCCGGAATCGAACCCGGGACCTTTCAGTCCGCAGGCCGATGCTCTATCCACTGAGCCAAACCAGTTTCGGCTCGGATTTTTTTAAAAATGTATTTTTATTTACTGCAGAGAGGAAGGGAGAGGGAGAGGAAGAGAGAGAAACATCAATGGCGAGAAGCATTGATTGGCTGCCTCCTGCACGCCCCCTACTGAGGATCCAGCCTGCACCCGGACATGTGCCCTTGACCAGAACCCAATAGGTCCTTCAGCAGAAAGGCAGATGCTCCATCCAAGCTAGGGCAGGTTTGGACATTTCTTATGCTCCCACCATGGCTACAGTCGCAGACTCAGTATACTAGACTAAGGTGATCAGGCGTCCCGATTTTTAACAATTTGTCCCCCATCCCGCGGCGTTTTTAAAAAGTCCCGATTTTGGGGGGGAAATCGGGACTTTTTTAAAACGCCGCGGGATGGGGGTCAAATTGTTAAAAATCGGTACTTTCCCGCCAAAAGCGGGACGTCTGGTCACCTTACGACACAAAGGTGCTGCCCTAACTTAAGGCAAAGGCCTACAGACATTTCAGACCCAGCAGCTCCGCGTACAATGCACACACCGCCGACATGCCTCCCCGGAAAGGCCAGCTTCTCAGTCACCCCTTCCAAAGCTCCAGACGTCATAATCCCACCAACAACCCCTCCCCAACAACCCCTCCCCAACCCCGCCCCTGGACAGCAAAAGGGAAAAAGAGAATTAGCACAAAGCAGGTGCGAAGGAGGAAAGCGCACGCTGATCCGGGAACCACTCCCGGGGTGACGCCCTGCGGCGCAGCCTGGACACCTCGGTCCCGGGTGCCACCGGATCTCGCGCTTCTCACGCCTCTCGCTGGCGTCGGGAAGGGGGCGGGGCCCGGCAGGGTCAGGTGACTCGTAAAGCTCCGCCCAGCGGCTCGTTGCCTAGCGACCTGCCTTGCGCATGCGCCGCCGAGGCGAGAGTTGGAGCACCGTGGAGTCCGGCAGCAGCGGTCGGGATGGGGCTCAGCGTGCGCGCCGTTTTCTTTGACCTGGACAACACGCTCATCGACACGGCGGGGGCCAGTCGGAAAGGCATGTTGGAGGTAATTCCCTGGCACCCGCAGCCCTCCCCCGGTTCCCTTCCCTGAGGGTCCTCCCTCCTCCGCTTCCCCGGCGGCGCCCGGGGTGCGGGATCCCGCGGGGGACCCGGAACTCTGGCCTCTGCTCCTTGGAGACTCTGGGGCAGGAGCGGCCGGAGAGGACGGGGGACTGGGGGGCTGCCCGCCCTTAAGCCTGGCAGCTCTGGTGACCTGCCTGTCCGCTCGCAGGCTCTTGAAATTTATCCCAGCACTTTGGAACCCAGAAAGATGTCATGAAAGCTGCCACGATGGCAGAGTTGAACAAAAACGTAGGAAGACTGTCACCTGGCTTTCTTATTTATTTATTTATTTATTTATTTATTTATTTTTAATATATTTTATTGATTTTTTACAGAGAGGAAGGGAGAGAGATAGAGAGCTTGAAATGTCGATGAGAGAGAAACATCGACCAGCTGCCTCCTGCACAACCCCTACCGGGGATATGCCCGCAACCAAGGTACATGCCCTTGATCGGAATCGAACCCGGGACCTTTCAGTCCACAGACCGACGCTCTACCCACCGAGCCAAACCGGTTTCGGCCTGGCTTTCTTATTTAATAATATGTTTTTTATTGATTTCAGAGGAAGGGGGGAGGAGAGAGAGAGAGAGAGAAGCATCAGTGGTGAGTATCATTGATCGGTGCCTCCTGCATACCCCACATTCGGGATTGAAACCACAAACCAGTCCTGTGTCCAGACCTGGAATCCAGCCATGACTTCCTGGTTCATAGGTCGAAGCTCAACTATGAGCTAAGCCAGCCCGGTTTCACAGGATCTTTGAGGAGACTTAGGAAGTTACACAATTATCAGTTGTTAACCTGGACTTGAATCGATTCTAGAGAATTTTCACTGCCGAAATTCTTCTCCTGCGATCCCAGGGAGTGATGGAGTAAGGGAAGTGAAGGAATTGAATACAGTTTACATAAATGAGCAGTTTGCTATTGTGAATAATTGGGGGATTCTTGAGGTAGTATGCAGAACATACGTTATGTTCTTCCCAAGGAGCAAGAAAGCTGTGCTATTGATTCACCTATTTCTGTTCCGAATTGGTTGAGGCTTGCTCCCAGGCGACACTTGGGCCTCAGCCTATGTCCTTGGTTGGCAAACTCATTAGTCAACACAGCCAAATAGCAACAGTACATCGATTGAAATTTCTTTTGAGATCCGAAAACTGACTTCTTCACACGGGCCACGAAGTTTCAATTGCACTGTAGGTGTGTGCCCGCATGTGGTATTTTGTGGAAGAGCCACACTCAAGGGGTCAAAGAGCTGCATGTGGCTCGCAAGCCGTTTGCCGACCACTGGCCTATGTGTATGGGGTGTCCCTGAGGCCAAACAAAGCCCTCGGCAGAGAAGCGCGAGTATTACAGTGTGACGCCATTGATGTACATGGGAGTAGTGTGGCCGAGGTGATGTGGGTAGCATCTGTTATAGCCTGGGACTCATGGCCCTTGACAGACTGATTCCAAACAGCCTCTAGTCTCATCTCTTAGCATCCTCCCTCACGTGAATTTTGGCTAAATTAAGCTTCTTGCCTTTCCCAGTTTACAAAACTCCAAGCTCTTTGTCTTTGTGCATTCTGTTCCTTCTCTTAAGAATGATTTTTATCCTCTTCCCATTCCCACGTTAGGGGCATGGTAACTGCTTTAAATATTACTTCCTCTGATAAGCCTTATGCAGCAATCCTGTGGAATGACTTGATCCTTTTTATTTCCACATTTGACATTCATAAGATTGTCGTAGCCGAAACCGGTTTGGCTCAGTGGAAAGAATGTGGGCCTGCGGACTGAAGGGTCCCGGGTTCGATTCCGGTCAAGGGCATGTACCTTGGTTGTGGGCACATCCCCAGTAGGCAGCTGGGGATGACTCTCTCTCATCGATGTTTCTAACTCTCTACTCTGTAAAGAATCAATAAAATATAGTTTAAAAAAATAGATTGTCGTAGCTCTCAACCCAGTATTTGTGGTGGTTCCATACCTAATTTCCTCACTAGATAATGTCATGGAGAGAAGAGACCCAGTCTCCAAGTGCCTAATAGCAATAGTGTAAAGGCAAGCATGTGGACTTTGGAAGTAGGCAAGTCAGGGTTAAAATCCCAGCTCATGCGAGTTATGTAACAATCTTGAACTTCTATTTCCTCATCTCAACAAAGGAACTCTTAGAGAGTTAGAAAGGTAGAAATAATGTATGTCAGCACTGAGTATAATGCTTGCCACGTTAAGGTCTTAGTAAATGTCAGAAGACAGGCCAAATGAATAAGAACCTCCTATCTAGCGAAACTGGTTTGGCTCAGTGGATAGAGCGTCAGCTGCACTTACTCTTGTTGTGGGTACATCCCCAGTGGGGGTGTGCAGGAGGCTGATCGATGTTTCTCTCTCATCGATGTTTCTCGCTCTCTATCTCTCCCTTCCTCTCTGTAAAAAATCAGTAAAATATATTTTAAAAAAATAAAAAGAACCTTCTATCTAATAAAGGGAATATGCGAATTGACTGTCACACCCCCACAAAGATGGCAGTACTCACAGGCAATAAGGAGGGAATATGCTAATTGACGGCCACCCAGATGGTGGCACCCAGTCCCCTCTGCCTGCTGGAGCTTGAGGCACACAGCACAGCCAGGCCCACCCCCCGACGGGTCCGGCTGCTCCGCACCTGCCTCTGGAGTCCCTCAGGCTCCTCAGACCCCCCAACGCCCAGGGCCAGCCCAAGGGGCAGGCAAACAGCCAATGGCAGCTGCCCAGTTGCCCAGGGCTGCCCAAGGCTCAGGTAACTAGGGCCAGCCGAGGCTTGCACTGCCGGCATTGGCAGCAGCAGAGGTGAGATGGGGCGTCACCTTCCCCTGAGGGCTCCTGGACTTTGAGAGGGGCAGGGCGGGCTGAGGGACCCCTCTCCCCAATGCAGTGCATGAATTTTCATGCACCCGGCCTCTAGTAATGTAATGAAAGCCAAATAAAGAGCTGTGGAGACATGAGGAAGTGTGCTTAATTCTAAAGAGGGAATCAGAACCAGAGTGATTCAAAACTACTTAAGAATTTTTAAATCTAGAAACCTAGTGGAAGAAGCACTGGATCATTAAACTGCTGGAATTACAGAACATGCTTGATTCCATTAGAGCTACATATACATTTTTAAAAGGACAGAATTAGCCTGGCAGGTGTGGTTTAGTGGTTGAACATTGACCTATGAACCAGAAGGTCAAGATTTGATTCCTAGTCAGGGCACATGCCAGGGTGCAGGAGGCAGCCAGTCAATGATTCTATCATCATTGATGTTTTATTCCTTTCTCCCTCTCCCTTCCTCTCTGTAATTGATTTTTTTAAAAAAGAATTAAAAAAAAAAGGTGAGGTGAACTAGTGTTATTTCTGGAAAGAGTCTAAATGATAGTTAGAAATTTAAAATATTTTACTAACTATAAGCACAAGTCTATGTGTTTATGACCAGAATGAAATGTGGTGGATTTAAACTGCTAAAAGAAGGATTTTTATTAGTTGTATATGCAGACTGTTTATAGAATAGAAATTGGTTAATATATATGTAAAAATGAGAGGTTAGAGATCTTTATTCTGGTGTTCTTTAAAAATAAGATTGATTCCCAATGGAAATGGTATGATAATAGACCTGCCTTATGACAGCTCTCTTGGAGTGGTGCTCTGGCCAGGTGGCTCAGTAGGCTAGAGGGTCGTCTAGTGCACCCAGGTGGGGTTGTGGATTTGGTTCCCCATTGGGGCACATGCCTGGGTTGCGGGTTTGATCCCCAGTCAGGGTGCATGCAGGGGGTGGCCGATGAATGTTTCTCACATTATAGATTCTCCCTCCCTCTCTCCTTTCCTCTCTTTTAAAATCAGTGAAGAACATATCCTCTAAAATAATAATATCCTATAAAAATAATAATAAATACTATTGGGGGAAAAAGAGTAGAGTTAGAATCTTTTTGCTCTGGGTTTGTAGGATCACATCTTCTCATGGCATAACTATTAAAGACATAAAGTGTGTGCGGAAACCGGTTTGGCTCAGTGGAAAGAGTGTCGGCCTGCGGACTGAAAGGTCCCAGGTTCTATTCCCTTCAGGGGCATGTACCTTGGTTGCGGGCACATCCCCATGGGAGGTGCGCAAGAGGTAGCTGATCGATGTTTCTAACTCTCTATCCCTCTCCTTTCTTCTCTGTAAAAAATCAATAAAATATACATATTTTTAAAAAGAAATAAAATTTGTATTAAAAAAAAGACATAAAGTGTATTAATGAAGCTATTTTCCTTTACGTAGGTGATAAAGCTCTTACAATCAAAATACCATTACAAAGAAGAGGCTGAAATAATTTGTGACAAAGTTCAAGTTAAACTCAGCCAGGAATGTCTTCGTCCTTCCAATACATGCATTACTGATCAAAGGACTTCACACTGGGAGGAAGCGATTCAGGAAACAAAGGGTGGTGCAGCCAATAGGAAATTGGCGGAAGAATGTTATTTTCTGTGGAAATCCACGCGTTTACGGCATATGACACTAGCAGAAGATGTCAAAGCCATGCTCACTGAACTTCGAAAGGATGTCTGCCTACTTTTATTAACAAATGGAGACAGACAGACCCAGAGGGAGAAGATCGAGGCTTGTGCCTGTCAGTCCTATTTTGACGCCATTGTCGTAGGCGGAGAACAGAAAGAAGAGAAACCAGCACCTTCCATATTTCATTACTGCTGTGATCTCCTTGGAGTACAGCCTGGGGACTGTGTGATGGTTGGTGACACACTAGAAACCGATATACAAGGAGGCCTCAATGCTGGGCTGAAAGCAACAGTCTGGATAAATAAAAATGGAATAATGCCACTGAAGTCATCACCCATGCCACATTATGTAATTTCTTCTGTGCTAGAGTTACCTGCTCTCTTACAAAATATAGACTGCAAAGTCAGTATGTCAGTCTAAAGCAAATCAAAAGGCTGGTCTATTTGGAAACCTAGAATAAATTAGTACAAGTTACTTTTAGTAGTGTGATTGAGAAAACTTGAATAAATATATTATTTGTTTATCTGTGACATGAGGTTTTTTTTAAAAAAATATTTTATTGATTTTTTTACAGAGAGGAAGGGAGAGGGATAGAGAATCAGAAACATCGATGAGAGAGGAACATCGATCAGCTGCCTCCTGCACACCTCCTACTGGGTATGTGCCCACAACCAAGATACATGCCATTGAGTGGAATTGAACCCGGGACCCTTCAGTCCGCAGGCTGACGCTCTATCCGCTGAGCCAAACCAGCCAGGGCTGACTTGAGGTTTTTAAACATTTTATTAATCTTTTAGCATCAATGAGATACCAAGCAGGATTGCTTATATATGGGTATACAAATACAGGTTTTTTGCACTGACTAGCCAGTTTGGCTCAGTGGATAGAGCTTTGGCCTGCGGATAAAGGGTCCCAGGTTTTATCTTGGTCAAGAGTACATGCCTGGGTTGTGGGCTCAATCCCTAGCAGGGGGCTTGCCAGAGGCCACCAATCAATGATTCTCTATGATCATTGAGATTTATATATCTTTCTCCCTCTCCCTTCCTCTCTAAAATCAATGTACATTCAAAGAAACTTTAGAACTTAAAAAAAACACAGATATTCTAAAACATGTAATAGGATAACTAGGTCTGGTTAATATGAATAAGTACTAGGTCACATGCAAATCAAGGCATTTCATATATTATTTTGTATATTTTTGAAAATATATATGCCTTTTTTTGCCTACTTAAATGTATACTTTCTTTTATTCTAATTTTTCTGCATTACCTTTTCTGAGAGGCTTCCAATTTTCCTATGCTATAAAATATGACAAATAGCCGAAACCGGTTTGGCTAAGTGGTAGAGCGTCAGTCTGCGGACTGAAAGGTCCCAGGTTCGATTCCGGTCAAGGGCATGTACCTTGGTTGCGGGCACATCCCCAGTAGGGGGTGTGCAAGAGGCAACTGGTTGATGTCTCTCTCTCATCGACGTTTCTAGCTCTCTATCCCTCTCCCTTCCTCTCTGTGAAAAATCAATAAAATATATTAAAAAAAAAGAAAAAAGAAAAAAAATTTTCTTGATTGGCCCTGACTGGTTTGGCTTAGTGGATAGAGCTTGGGCCTGCGGACTGAAAGGTCCCAGGTTCAATTTGGCCAAGGCCACTACCTTGGTTGCAGGCACATCTCCAGTAGTGGGTGTGCATGAGGCGGCTGATCAGTGCTTCTCTCTCATGGATGTTTCTAACTCTATCCTTCTCCCTTCCTGTCTGTAAAAAAAAAAATCAATGAAATATTTTTTAAAATATTTTTAAAAATTTTTTAAAATTAAGTATACGATGGAAAGATAATAATCGGAGGTTTTATGTCTCCCAGTTTCCTCAACTGTGAGTTTAAGTTACTACTATTGCCTAGTCGGCCCTCAGCTGTTTCCAGAAGAGGATGCTAGACCCAGAACCAGATCCCACAGGGATCAGCGAGGTCAGGGAGCGGCTCACACCTGAGGCTCACACTTCCCAGAGGCAGTGAAGGAGCCTGGGTCCCCATGGGCAGCAACACACACTCAACCCCGCCGCACACCCCGCACCGGGTCCCATGGGACTAACCGCCCCGCCCCGCCCCGCCCCGCCCCGCCCCGCCCCGCCCCGCCCCGCCCCGCCCCGCCCCGCCCCGCCCCGCCCCGCCCCGCCCCGCCCCGCCCCGCGCACTTCCGGTCCCGCCCCGCCGGCTCCTGGTTTGGCCTGCGGCCCCGGCGGAGGACCAGGGGGCGGCGCCGGGCGGCCCGGAGGAGCCGGAGAAGCGCAGCATCTGGTCCTCCGGACACAAAGAGCGGCAGCGGTCCGGCGGGAGCCGCGGGCCTGTCCGGTGCCCTCGGGCCGCGTCCCTGGGACCCGCGCGCGGGCGGAGACGCAGGATCCCCGGCTGCCCAGGTGAGCGGGGTCGGGGCGGCCTGCGGGACGCACGTGCGGGCTGGGGCCGGGTGCTCCTCTGCGGGGGCCGCGGAGCCTGGAAGTCAGCAGGTGGGAGAGCGTAGGTGCCCGCGCCCCCGGACGGAGCGGAGACGGGTGAAAACCCGCGGTTCTCCCGCGCCCGCCCCTCCCCGCGGCGTCCGGGGGCTGCGCTGGCGGGGTCCGCTCTTCCCTCGCTCCGGGTTTAGGGGCTGCAGGTTCGGTAGGTGTGACCGGGCGTCCCGCCTCTCCCGTCACCGCGGAGGGCTGGGCTGGGTCCCTTTAGAACACCGGGTCCTGCGGGAGGCCGGCTGCGTGGCCAGCCTTGCTGATCCAGGTCCTCCAGAACGGCCGTTTCTGCGGTGCCGGCGCCCCTGTGAGCAGAGTTCGCAGGGTCCCGGCTCCTTTGCTGAAGCGGACCTTCCCCTCCCGGGGCGCGATCCTGGACCGGGCGGAGCCAGTGTTTCCATTGGGATCTGGGGGTGAACCTCCGTGGCCTCGGTGCATGTCTGCAGCCTTTTTGCTCCCCAGATGGTCCTCCTTTGACAACCCTACCCCTGCCAGCTCCAATCCTTCAGGCTGCCCGGGTCACCTGCAAAACGTGAGGATCCCAATCCTCCGACAAGCCGAATTGTTCCATAGAATCATCTCCTGTAAATAAGATTGCATTCCACTGTACTACTAGAACAACTTTTCAGGATGTACCTGTTGCCTTTCCTTGCGTTAGGATTTTGCACTTTGAAAAGCAGAGAAGTGCGTCTTATCTATTGTGCTAGTCGTTTGGCAGAATCGCCCCTTCCCTCACCACAAAGGCCGAGTAGGAGTCTTTTCCATCTCTGTAGATGTTCCACTCTCATAAATGTGCCCCTGCGCGTTGTTAGGAGCTCCTTATAGGTCTGTGTGTTTGCACAGAATGGAAGCGAAGTAGGAGACTTAGGCCCAGCTATGGAACAGGGAGGCAGGGAAGGGGGTCGGCGGAGAACTATGATGGCTTGAAGTATATTATCCATAAGTATTCAAGGTATTTAGATCTTGCCCTTTTAAAAAATATATATATTTTATTGATTTTTTACAGAGAAGAAGGGAGAGGGATAGAGAGTTAGAAAGATCGATGAGAGAGAAACATTAACCAACACTGTTAATAGCCGAAACCGGTTTGGCTCAGTGGAAGAGAGTAGGTCTGGAGACTGAGAGGTTCCGGGTTCGATTCCGGTCAAGGGCATGTACCTTGGTTGCGGGCACATCCCTGGTAGGGGGTGTGCAAGAGGCAGCTGATCGATGTTTCTAGCTTTCTATCTCTCTCCCTTCCTCTCTGTAAAAAATCAATAAAATATATTAAAAAAAAACCCCACTGTTGCCCGGACCGGTTTGGCTCAGTGGATAGAGCGTCGGCCTGCGGACTGAAGGGTCCCGGGTTCAATTCCTGTCAAGGGCATGTACCTTGGTTGCGGGCACATCCCCAGTGGGGGGTGTGCAAGAGGCAGCTGATCGATGATTCTCTCTCATCGATGTTTCTAACTCTCTATCTCTCTCTTCCTCTCTGTGAAAAATCAATAAAATATATTTAAAAAAAAACAAAAAAAAAAAAACCCACTGTTAATAGGAGGGAAGGATGTGAGTTGATGGTGACTTTCTTCTTAGAGGCTTTTGCTGTGGATTCCAGGTTTTTCACATTGTACTTTGAATACTTTTAAAAGAAGATTTAAAAAAAAATAATGATAGGCAATTAAAAACAGCACTATCAGGAGCCTCACAGTTTTAACAGCTTTGTGCAAGAGTGTGTATATAGCTGAAACCGGTTTGGCTCAATGGATAGAGCGTAGGCCTGCAGACTGAAAGGTCCCAGGTTCGATTCTGGTCAAGGGCATGTACTTTGGTTGCGGGCATATTCCTTGTAGGGGTGTGCAGGAGGCAGCTGGTTGATGTTTTCTAGCTCTCTATCCTTCTCCCTTCCTCTCTGTAAAAAATCAATAAAATGTATTTTTTTAAAAAGAGAGTGTGTATATATATAAATATTTAAAAGTATGTGTTTATTAAAAGAGAAATGCTAAGGCAGTTAGAGCAGCATGCTATCATCATGGTGCCCCTGTTGTTTGACTTACAAATCATTCTACTGATTTAAAATATTATAAATTTAACTGGTCTCTATTGGCAAACCAAAGCTGTTTTGCCACAAGGGTGTATGTGTTTAATTATAGTTTATATTCAATAAAAATTAGAGGATAATCTTTTTTGCAGAATGAGAAAATAACATTTTCCAAAGACTTGAACTTCAGATAACAGTTAATACCATCAAGTTAGAAAGAGAGCACTTTATGGAGGAAAAGTTAGGCTTTATGTTTTTAAAAAATGAGGAGTTTATAAACTTTGATGGAATACTATTTCCCCTAAATCATTTCCCTCAGATGTGGTGACCTGACACAATCATTTGCTAACAGCATTTGTAAATCCTTACTGTTAGTGCATCCTTTGTTCTGAGTCCTTAAGAATGCTTGGTGGTGGACAATAGAATAACAAAAGAATTGTGAAGTATATTATCCATAAGTATTCAAGGTATTTAGATCTTGCCCTTTTTAAAAAAATATATTTTATTGATTTTTTACAGAGAAGAAGGGAGAGGGATAGAGAGTTAGAAAGATCGATGAGAGAGAAACATTAATCAGCTGCCTCCTGCACATCCTCCACTGGGGACGTGCCCACAACCAAGGTACATGCCCTTGACTGGAATCGAACCTGGACCTTTCAGTCCGTAGGCCGACGCACTATCCATTGAGCCAAACTGGTTAGGGCTAGATCTTGCCCTTTTATGGTGATTGGCTTTGTATACTAGTTTTTTTATTTTATTTTTTCTTTGAAGGTAAAACATGTGACCTTTGAGACTTGGGGCATCTGAGAGGTCCCTCTGGTCACATTCTTTCTACTTTGGATACTTAGGTTTGGGTTTTGCCTTAAACAGGTTATCTTTTCTTCCCTGGATCAAGAAAGATCTAGAAAA